AAGTGTGGATCACATAAGAGCCATCGAAAGGAGAACTCTCATGTGTCACAAAAGAATTGCTCCCGGTGAGGCTCGAACTCACGACCTTCAGATTATGAGACTGGCATCTCTGACATCATCTGACAATAAGAGTGATAATATAATGTTTTTTATTGATCTATTCAAATACAACACGTACATTTTACTAAAATCCTAACGACCTATATTGCTGAGATCCATTTGTGAGCAGTCATGGGAACGCTACGAGAGTATTCCGTTAGAATTGAACATTTGGCAAGGTGTAGTTGAAAAGCACATAATCCCAGTAAAATATCTGAAATGGCAATCCGTTACAAGTTATCATTTCACAGAAGGGATGAGGCTTACCTTAACAAGGAGGCGTTGCACTTCGATGTCTCGCATATGCTTCTCATATTTTTTTGTCTCGTTTTTATGGCTCGTGGCGTGGATTGACGTCCCATTGGAAATTTGGGAGGTAATGAGTTCGATTTTCGATCGCTCAACGTTTCCTTCTGTAGAGATTTTTTAAGGTTCGTGCGGTCTTACTATACATTTGGCTTGCTTGCTTTCATGCGTCGAAAGTTGATAGAGTGAAGCGCAGAGAACTAGTGCTATGAGGAGCCTTGGTCTGACAGTAAGTCCAGTCGCCTATGCGAAACAGCTGTCTCCGTTTCCAATACACACTCTATATCCCCAAGGTGAGGTAGGTGTGGCTGCGAACTTCATTTGACGTGGCATAAGGTGCGTTTTTCGCGGAATATTTCCATTTGAGACAACCCCATCCGTTCATCCTTTTTCTATAACTGTGCTCAACAAAAACATGGCTAGGTCATCTTGAGCATGTGGCAACAACAGCAAATCCCCTTCAGAAGGGCAGCTGCCACCATGTTTGAATTGAAGTACCCATCCATGCCCTCCCTACATATGTTCGTGATATAGAGAGTACATGTTAGGATTTTCTTGCTGCTCCTTCAACACACCGCCAGTAGGTTTCAAAGTCGCGAGGCCTTACAAGTGCGCTAATCTACGGGACTCACTCAACACTCACACTCCTAGTGCTTTCAGTTTTGCACTTTTCTCGTCTCTTCAGTCGATTCACTGTGACTTACGCGTTTCCAGCTTTTCGAAAAGGTCTTCCCACTCACGTCCGAGCAGTTTACCTTTTGAAATAGCGCCATCCACTGCGTTCGCCTGTTTTTCTCACCTTGTCCGATATTTGGAAGCAGCTGCCTTCTGCATCGCCCCATAGAAGGCTCGCACTAATTGTTATACAAAAAGCTCAAGTTTTCTTGCCGGAAACTGGGGCAAAAGAAGTAGTTTGATGTGGATCAGGAAGCTCAAGCTTTTAGTGCATAAATCGTCGTTCCCTCCCTTTCGAACGGGCCTTCTGGCTCACCCGACGAGCTTGCATAGAACATGGAAGAATCTATTCGGAAGTGAAAACCTATGGTCTGTCTTTGTTGTGCGTCGACCCACCGCCGTCTGCCACGGGCCACCAGTCCTCGCCCCTCCGCGGCGTCACGCCCCCACCAGGAAGCCGGCGGGGCTAGGGACGGGCGGCGAACTGCCGCTCCGGGGGCGCGACTCCGGCCCGACTCCCCTACAGGGCGCGCTAAGTACGTTACACATGCCGGCTAGTTGCGTTCGAGACCTCGGAGACGGGGTTGCTGTGTCATGCCTCTCAGCAGAGAATTATAGAAAAGGAACTGCGACCCAAATTTAGAAAATTGAACCAGTGAGGAGGTAAACGAGTCGAAAGGATATGGATAGAAATGAATACCTTCGAGAACCTTCCAAAGATTATCATTCAATTCTTTCTTTTTCTCTGGAGAGTACTGAATGAGCTTGAACTGTTCGAAATTGTGCTGTAAATCGCAGTGCCTGAAATGTTTTGCTCAGTTCGTGACAGGGCAATCATGCCTGAAAAGGCGAACGAACCAATTCTGAGGTCCAAGGTGCCACAAGAGATATGAAACAGCCGACAAATCTCCCATAGCAAATCGTCGAGAACTTTCAAGAGTTCGTTCTAGTGCACACTTCACATCTCCAACACAGCCCTCACATGTGCTATTGGCAATATTACCCCTAAAATCAAATAGGCATATGTGCTGAGGGAGTAAATTGTAAAACTTCCACCAATCATCCCTCTTTGGGACGCTACACGCGCTATACTCCTCCCCAGAATCGTGAAAGGCTTTTTGAATGCGCTGTGACCTAAAGTCGTCATCCGGGCATTTGATTATCCTGCGCGACGCGGCTGCAGCGCGGCACGATCGCTGCGATCAGCTGTTTCCACCCTAATTTAGCAATTTTCTCCCTAGTTTTCACTGTTTTTGGCTGTTTTTTTCAAGGTCATTTGCTTTATTGCCTATATGAACGTACATCGAGACGTGAACTCTTTTTTGTTGTTGTAATGGGGTGTTTTTCGCGATTTTCATAGGTGTTTGTTTAATTGTTTGTTTAATCGTCTAATTGTTCGCAAAAGTTAGAAAAAACTCAATCATAATTTATCTTGTGAAGACAAGGAACAGTTGACCTTGAAAAAAACAGCCAAAAACAGTGAAAAGTAGGGAAAAATGACTAAACCAGGCCGGAAACGGCTGATCGCCGCACACAGTTCCTACGTACGCGGTCGCTGCTGCAGCCGCGTCTGCGGCCCCTTGACGACCGCCCTAATCAACTGCCCGGATGACGACAGTATACAATCAAGATAAGATACAACCAGGACTGTATCTGGTGTCAAGGAAATTTTTTTCCGATTCCGATGCGAAAAATCCAAGAAAATGGTAGGTAAGATAGGGAAGGGGACGGGGGTCGTGCCGCAGGAAGAACTTCACAGAGCAGAGGTCGTCCGACACCGCGATTTCTTCAACACCAACGTTGTGCCCTGTCTAAAATGGCTCGCGGGGGCAAGCTGATCTGGAAGTCAGTTTTTCATCCTTTCAGAGGAGTTCAGTCTCAATTTAATGGCAGGTAGAAGGCTTGGTTGACCTGGGCGGGAGCCGATCTGAGGTTTAACTCCCTGATTGCCACTTCCCACTAAACCATCACTTTCCCAGCTACAGTCGGGGAAAAAAAACTTGGAACAATCTTTGAAAGGGCTCTCTAAGCTGTTCTAAGCTATTTATTCTGTTCTCAAACACCACTATCGCTGAAATGGCTCGCGGGGTGATCTGGAACTCAGTTTTTTTCATCCTCCCAGAGAAATTCGGTCTCAACTTTTAACTGTATGAGATTCGAATTCCTAACTGCATTTATCCACCACACCACCCTTCTCCCATCTACATCTATTATTATACTATTTACAATCTGGTGTTACAAGTTGAGATAGTCGCGCGGCATATATTTTGTAATAGATAAATCTATGAAGGGATCCTATGTATTAAGTCGACCATCGCTCCTGCCATGATACCCTCTTTCCCCTGACAAGGAATACTTCTGGGATGACCTGCATTGCCATTTCAAAAGTAAAATGTGTTTAAGAACAGACTAATATCTTTGCAAAACTCCGCAGCGAGCAGGGTTCGAACCTACGCGGGCAATGCCCATTGGATTTCAAGTCCAACTCCTTAACCACTCGGACATCGCTGCACATCCCCTCATGCTCCTATTTGTTCCTGTCATGTAGTGTGGACACTGGACAATCCTAGTTTATATTGTTGCTGATGTCATATACAAAGTTTGCTATTTTCGTCGCAAACGCTAGCAGCGAGTGTTTCGAATCCACCGACCTCTCTGGTATATGGGCCAGCACGCTTCCACTGTGCCACGCTGCTTCGAGCTACCTGCGGCGAATACATGGCAAGCAGAAAAGGTCCTGGCAACAGAGAGCAGCGACATGATGATATACAGGGGGGGCCAAAAAAAAAAAGTCATTTTGCCTCCATGACTTTCAAGGCGCTATAAGTTACACTTTATTAAATTTTTATCGGACATTTTTACTACCATATTAAAGAGCACATTAAATACTATAACGATACTCCGCCACAGCCTTCTGGAGGAGCGCCATCGAGAGATTCGGCCGCGCGAAAGTGAGTGGGTACCAGAGTTGAGCGAGATCGTTGATTTCTCCGCCACTGTAGACCACCCTGTTGAGCTCCGCCCGAACTAGGTAATTGAGTGGGTTTAGGTCAGGGGACATATTTCAATATTACATCTTCATCAGGTACGAAACGCCCTTCCATTCGAAGTAGGCGGGAGTTTTTCCAAAACCCTTCGATTCCATGTGGTGGCACCCAAACCTGTAGCAGCACAAGGTCTCCAAGAAGGTACGGGCGACCACATGTAGGGAGGATATCCTTCTCGAGTTACTTGATGTAACCGCCAGCGCTCACCTTCAGTCGGGGTCTACAAAGAAAATATTGGTCTTCCCATTCCAGGTACGGCCGGTCCACACCATCAACCCGCGCCTTGGTGAATGGGGTGAAGATGATGTCCTGGACCGTAGCGACGTTGCCGGAGCTGCTCGATGTTTGAGGTCTTGCAGATCAAGAGTACTGGTCTCCAGGTAGCTATCCATGGGTGATTCCATTCAAGAAGTTCCGCAGCTGTTTGGAGGCCACGTGAATTCCAAAGGCGTTCTCCACTCAGGCCGCGACTGGAGATGACTTCATATTTTGGTGTACATGAAGGTGAATGGCGGCAGCCGGCTCCTGCTTATAGAGGAAGATCTTGGGTATCTTCCGCCCTGGTACTCATATCCACTTCCTCTGTCTGGGCTGCGAAAACTTCGCTCATATGTGACTCGGCCGGAATGACTTTTTTTGGCCCCCCCCCCTGTATAACAGAAACAAATTGGAGCTCATGGATGGAAGGTACCTATGCGCCTCTATAGCTCAGTGGCAGAGCGTCTATGTATGAGGCCGACTATCGCTCCATCCATGAGGCCACCTCATTCCCCATTACAAAGGCATAGTATTGAGCTCGACGCTGACCGATATTCGCAGAAAGTAAAATGTGGCTTAGGATGATATTATTCGATTATATAATATTTATTTATTTGGCAAAAGTTACACAGCGAGCATGGTTCGAACCTACGCGGGCAATGCCCATTGGATTTCAAGTCCAACTCCTTAACCACTCGAACATCGCTGCATCATTTCTCATGCTCCTCTTTGCTCCTGTCATGTGCTGAACTTCCCATGGACACTGGACAATTCTAGTTTGTAATGCTGCTGATGTCAAATACACTTGCTACCTCCGCTCGGGCATAAACAGTTAGCAGCGAGTGGTTTCGATTCCACGCGCTCTGGGTTACTGGGCCGCAGCACCGCTTCCACTGTGCGCAACGCTGCTTTGGAGCGAAAGGACATGCGGCGATAATAGTGAGGGCAGAAAAAGCGTTGGCTGGCAATAGAGTGCAAGCGAATGATGATAATCTATACAACAAACGGAATTGGAGGTTAATGGTGAAAAGGTGCCTATGAGCCCTATAGGTCGGTGGCAGAGCGTCCATCTGCGCAAACACAAAGCCTGTGACACAAAATCATTCCCGCATTTTGCAAAGAGCTTGAAAAACCTGTCAGAACTCCTTGCTACTGATAGAAACTCACGGACTGCACATATACATGAATCCACTGAGGAATCGTTCAGCCGGTTCTCGAACCAGCGCAAAATTGACCCAAGGCTCTCCGTGGGCGAATTTCTTTATTTGCTTGATGTTATGCAGCTCATTGCGTTGATTGCAAATTTCCCTGAACAACTGTTTGTCATCAAAGAAGCTGTGAAAGAGACGGTTCAAACCTTGGGTTGGGCATTTGAAGGACTACTTGTGGAAAATAGGATTACTACTACGCGGTAATCCCATTACTGCAGATAGGTAACTTATTCCTCAATTCCCAGCAAGAGTCCCTGAAATGTCCTATACTATAGAAACAAAACTCTCACCTGCCCATGTTGGTAACCGTCCGATTCGTAATTCCCAGCGTATCAGTGAACAAAGCGCAAAATATAGCGGAAAGTACGGTAGACATGTTTTTTCGGAATCATACACGAGGAAATTCGCTTTGCCACACCGGCCATCTGCAAAACATAAGATAAGATGGTGTTTAAAGTAGAGCAGCACTTGTTGTGTTTTGTCATCGAAGTACGGTATCAGCATCATGAGTTTCGTATAGTCAAGCCTTTTACTGAATCGGAATTCGATTGAATCATCTTCCTTCTTAATCACCTTTCTAGAGAAAATGTCATATTTTGTCTGCTCTTGCTCCTATATTTTGACTCCTCATGGAAACGTCATTTCTTATGGTATATAAGCACCTCGCGCAATACTATTCGTAGTCCGTAATAAAGAACGATTCGTTCCGACACATGGCGAACCACGGCAACCACAGCAGTCTACGCCTGATCATCTTCTGCCACGCCTTCACATCCGGAACAAGCTCGTACCCGACGTCGATCAATCCGCCTCATCGAACTATACACTTCGAGGATGAGCTCCCAGATACGCCGTTCAATCGGAATCGCACGCAAGCACCTGCTACGAGCTCTCCAACTATGCGACGAAGACCTTCAGTGACCTCACGGATCTTCTTCCGACAGCCTCCAACGATGATCTGCTCGACTACGCCGAACTTCAAACGACGCACCGCGAATCGCGAATCAATTTTCGAGAAGCTATCGAAGCTGGAAAACCTCAACGGAAAATGGATGAAGCTGGTGACCGAAAACACCAAAGAGGTAACAATATTCCAATTTCCAAATACGGCGGCTATCGTGGAGTAATCCAAATACGCGATCTACATACGGCAACGACGCGTGATAACCACCGCCTCCTCCAGAAGAAGAATTCGAAGAAAGAAGCGTAATCTACCAATCCTCTATCTCTTCAACTCGCAATACACGGACCACGGAAATGCTTGGAAGCAAGGGAACGACTCGACGTGTCAACTTCGTATCCTCAGAGCAC